TCAATTAACTTGAAATTTTCTTTAAAACATTCATAGAGAGCACTGCTGTAATGTAATGAGACTGTTTATTCTGACCTCTGTACACATTTAGGCCAGCAGTTCAACCTGGATTTATCAGTGCATTTTTCCCATCAAAAATAAAGAGTTTTGCAGGCAGTGGAAAGGGCTCTGTGTTTTGGTGTTGTGGGTGTTTTTTTTATTTGTTTGTTTGTTTGTTTCTTCTGTTGTTCTTTTTCCAGATGAGTTGTATCTGAGTTGTATTTACCTTAAAATTGGCCTGCCAGGGCTGCTTTACTGATGACTGTGGAATGTAACATAACATCAGCATTTTACTAAAACAAATTCATTTGAGAATTTGTGTTTCACCTCTATTCCATCATGTCTCTATGTGTCCCATCTCTCTCAACTAAACCAATAAAATGCCAAAATTAAAACAATCCCAAGCATTTTTTAAAAAAAAGTAATAGATATGTTAATCTTCTCACAGAAAAAAAATATTAAATATTTTTTATTGATTATTGATTGATAGAAAAGAGTGAAACTACTCTTTTCTACAGCCTTCTTCTGATGAGCACTATAGGTAGTGTAGAATAGTGCTGTGCTAGCAGTGTCATAGAGACTGTTGAATGTTACGTTGTGCACGTGAAAGGTACCTCTTTGAAAGAATGTCCACAATGGATAATGAAAAAATGGGGATAAGGTCCTAGATTAAGAACTGTTTTCAGTGGTATATGTTTTAGAGAAAATGGCTATGACATACAAGTAATAATTGATAGCATATTCTACTCTCTTGGATTACCTGGGTTTTACTGTTATTGTTAATGGTTGAAGTCCTGGAGTCACATGCTGTTTCACTATGGAAACAGTATTTTACTGAAATATAATGTGATGAAATGGAGACTTGGAATATTTTTCTGTTTTGTTAAATCTGAACATGTGATTTTTATAGAGGAAATTCTTCCACTGTGTGCTACTGATGTATTTTCGACACCTAGTGGTACTGCATGTAAATTACTTTAAGCTTTTTACTGGATATGTTATCTTACTGGCCAATCCTAAAGCTCACCTGGAATGTATTTTATTGTTTAACTACTGAAAATTTACAGGAAAGGTTTTTAAAAGCTTCAGCTCTGTGCCTGAGTAGATCATGGAGCAGATAGCTCCTTCTGGAAGCTATTTTAAGGTACACGCAAGACAAGGAAGTGTTTTGAAACAGCCAGCATCTTCTCCAATGGCAAATTGTACCTGACCAGTCTGGTGACTTCTACAGTGGAAAGATTGCTTCAGTTTATCTAAGCTATCTAGCTGACATCCTTATCTCCACTTTGGAGAGATACCCATTTGAAGCATGGACTATATGGTGGATAAGAAATAACAGCATCACAGAATCACAGGATTGTAGGGGTTGGAAGAGACCTCTGGAGATCATTTAGTTGCTAAGTAACCCCCTTCTAAAGCAGTCCATGTAGGTTTTGAAAATCTCCAGAGAAGGAAACTCTACAACCTCATTGGGCAGTCTAGACCAGTGCTCTGTCACCCTCACAGTAAAAAAGTTCTTCCTCATGCTTAGATGGAACTTTCTGTGTTTATACCTGTTGCTCCTCATCCTAATGTTGGACAAAAAAGTGCCTGGCACCATCCTCTTGACAGCTACTCTTTATATATTTAAAAATGCTGATAAAATCCCTTCTCAGTCTTCACCAGGCTAAACAGCCCCAATCTTTCCTCCTGAAAGAGTTATTCCTCCAGGCCCTTCAACATCTTTGCAGTCCTCTGTTGGACTATCTCCAGCAGTTCCCTGACTTTCTTGAACCAAGGAGTCCAGAGCTAGGTGTAGGACTCCAGATTTGGCCTCAACATGGCAGAGTAGAGAGGGAGAATAACTTCCCCAGATGTAGGACTCTATACTTGCCCTTGCTGAACTTCATAAGCTTCCTCTTTGCACAACTGTGTAACCTGTTCAGGTCTCACTGAATGGCAGCACAGGCGTTGTTCTAGTCACATGAGCTGTTCCACCATGTTTCCATGATCACAATGAGATTATGTCCCTGCAACAACACACAGATCTCTAGTTGCTTTTGTTTATTCCCCGTGCTGTATGCAGACACTTCAGAGAAGAAAAGGGAGCAGAGGATGCAGGTTTCCCCTAGAGCATACAGAAGAGTCCCCCACATCTGTACACATGCTTGAAATATCTGGCCTTCTGGCTCATGTCATGGGAGGCAGCTAAGGAACGTTCATCACTGTTCTGGTTGACCTGATTCTTTACCCAGTCAGTTGCAATGATGTGTATTGCCATTTTTGACCTTATTCCACAAGCCCTACAGTTTAATGCCTGCCTCACAAAGTTGTGTAGCCTCCTGCCACAATTGCCCTGTTTCTTCTACACAGTTGGATCCCATCCCTCCCTGGCAGGTTATAAAATTCATAGAAAGTCCCACTGTTGTAAAAGCCAAAACTCTAATGTTGGCACCAGTCATGTAGCCAGGAATTTATATGTCCATTTCTGTCTTCCGTCTTTCTTCCAACTGGCAAATTGTACTGTGCACCAGTTTTCTTCAGTTGTGCTCCCAGAGCTTTACACTATTCTTAGATTCTGCCCACATTGAATCTTCCAGCTTCATGCTATCATGAAAGAGCAATAGTGGATTGTAGTCCATTATCTTGATAAGCTGCAGCACTCTCTTGGCAATGTCCCTGATCTTGGCTCCCAGGAGGCAGCAAACCTCTTGTGACTCATTGTCAGGTTGGGAGAAGGGATCCTCAGTGCCTTTTAGTGGGGTGTCACCTACTATAAGCATGGGGCATTTAGTTTTACAATATCCGCTGCAGGCTGTCTGAATGGTTTCTTCTTGTAGATCTGAGGTTGCAGAAAGAGGATTGTGTTCGGCGGCTTAATGTTTAAGTGGAGGTTCGTGATGAGTGGTGTCCCATAGGCGTTCATCTTGGGATCAGTGCAGTTTAATATATTTTTCAATGGACAGTGGAATCAGGTGCACCCTTGGCAAGTTTGCAGATAAGATGAAGGGATCTGCAGGCTTATGTGAGCATAATGAGGGTTGATAAGGCCAAGTGCAAGGTGTAGCGCCTGCGTTAGCACAATACTGTACATGAGTACAGACTGGGAGAGGAACTCTCTGGAAGCAGCCCTGCAGAGGACTTCAGGAATCTGGTGGACAAAAAGCTAGACATGAGGTAGTAGTGTGCACCTGCAGCCTGGAAGGCCAACGGTATCCTGGGCTGCATCAAAAGAAGGGTGGCTCGCAGGAAGAGGGAAGCTATTGACCACCTCTGCCCTTGTGAGGCCTTATCTGGAGTACTACATCTAGATCTGCTGCCTCCAGCAAAAGAAAGGGATGGAGCTGTTATAATGGGCCCAGAAAAGGCCAGAAAGATAATCAGAAGGCAGAGAAGGCTCAAGGGAGACCTCATGGTAGCCTTTCAGTACTTAAGCGGAGCATATACACAAGATGGAAATTGACTTTTTACAAGGTTTGATAGTGATAGGACAAGGGGAATGGTTTTAAACTAAAGGAAGGGAGATTTAGGTTAGCTGTTAGGAAGGTTGGTGAGTCACAGACACAGACTGCCCAAAGAAGTTGTGGATGCCTGGAGGCATTTAAGGCCAGATTGGATGGGTCTCTGGGCAACCTGATCAAGAGATGAGCTTCAAGGTCCATACCACTTAATAAAACCAAGCTGTAGCAGCATACTCCTGTTTAGAGTTTTGTTGCTCTCAGTGTACATGCAGGTATAGAACTGCGGAAGCCTCAACAAGAATCAAAGGGAAGATCAAACTAGAGAGCATTATCCATATAAGAACTGAAATGAGGTGGTGATAACACTTCAGTCTAGAAAAGCTGTAGCTGAAGGGGAGTATGATAAGAGATTAATAAAACCAACAGGGTGTAGAAAAGGTTGATGGGGAAATTTATTAACTATGAAAAGCATGTATGAAGGTGGAAGGATCCAGGCTCCAAATAAATGTTACAGTTTTAGAGCTCTGAAAGCCCTTACTGAAACATTTTGAGGATGAAAAATGTTTCCATGACTTTAAAGACTTGCCAAGTACTTGAGATACAGTAGGGTTGGTTAGCAAATAGATAACATTACCAAGCTCAAAGTTTTAAGATACACGGAGGGTTTTGTGGGAGAAATATTGTATATTCTTTCCATGTTTTTACTGCAAGAGTAAAACATGGCCACCACTTACAGACTCTGAAATACAAGCCATTACCTGAATGACAGTAGATGTGAGTCTGTACAGACATTTTCCTGTTGTAAGTCTAAGAGGAGAGAACAAGGCTTTCATCCAGAATAATATTACAGTACTGCTTAAAGCAGTATGTAAATACAAAAAAACTATATGAAAGACGTAAGTTCCCCAATGACTTTATAATATCTGCTTGTTAATCTTTTTTTTAATAGTATCATTATTTCATATAGTAGTTGAAAGTAACAAGTGTGCTTTATGTAATGTGAACTAGCAAGTTTTGCGTCAGTGTTTGTATAAAAGTCAGTAGAAACATTAAACTAAGTAACATGACCTAAAGTTAAAATTATTCTCCAAGTTCAGAATTATTGCAGACTTTATTATTAAGATATAAACAGTACATAAACTTAGCACAGTCTTTCATCGATGAGGAATTTCATCTATAAACAAACATTTCTATTTCTTGTTCTCACCTGTCTTGCTTATTTTGTAATATGGCTTCAACCTACTGGATGCTTATGTTAATTTCTGTAAGATGTATTATAAAAAGATACTTCCATGTTTTTTTTTAAAGAGAAAAACAAACAAAGCTACCAATATTTTGATTAAAACATATAGATTAAATGAAACTAAAAAATATTACTGCAGTTAATGATGACTACTATGTGGTGGGATAAGAAGCACATCTTTGTATATGTATTTACAAATATTTTCTATTTCTGGAATCTGCAAAGCCTAAACTGTTGTAGTTTTTTTTCTCTCTTCTTCTTCCCACCCCACTTCACAGGGACAGGAGAAAGTGGAAAGAGTACTTTCATTAAATAAATGAGGATTATTCATGGATCAGATTATACAGAAGAAGACAGGAAAGGCTTCACAAAACTGTTTATCAAAATATATGCACTGCAAAATATATGCAAGCTATGATCAGAGCCATGGACATGCTGAAAACACACTACACATCTGAAGAAAATGAGGTAAGACAGTACAAAGAAAATGCAAGTTTCAGTGCATGAAATTTCAGCCTGTACATGAGTGATCTGACTCATAACTAACTGCAAGAAGAACATTAAATTCTGCATTTCATGCAATGAGTTTGATGTCCCACAGTGTAAATGTGAAGACAGCAGGGAAAGGTGGGTAAGGGATTGAGGATGGGCAGGGAGAGAGGATATTCATTGTTACGAGTTGGTGATAAGTAATGAGCACCAATAATTTTCTTTTGTAATCTAATTTATGAGTTAGTAATACATGGTGGTTTGTCAGTAGCACTCCAGAATGAGAAGCTTTGGGTATATATTATAGGGAAGAATTAGAATTAATAAATAGAGGTATGCCTTGAAACATGCTACCTTTTGTATTTCATAGTAGCCTCTATGAACTTAATTAACTTGAATATGAGAATGTCTTCTCCAAACTTTTTTTCTTTTTTTGTTTAAACTTACAGAAATTATTTTTGTTTCAGTGCTTAGTATTGTGGAATTATGCAAAAAAAAAAAAAAAATCTGCTTCAGTTAAACAATTTCTTGTTCTATTTTGTCTGTTAAGTCAGTTGCTTCTTTTTTCTTAATTTTATTTTTGTTATGAAGTACAGACAGGTTTTTAAACAAGACTGGTTTTAGAATATGGAGATTTTGCTCAATATCATGAACATCATGTAAGCAAATTAGTAGATGTTATTTCTTTGAATTAAGAGGGATTTCCAAGTATCTAATTTTAGGTGTTAAGATAGGAAAGACTACCTGTAGGGAGTGTCAAGAAGTAAAGTTGTAGAATCTATGGATTGATATTTTTAATTTAAGTATCATGAAAAAAAAAAAAAATGTAAGCAAGCTAATTTTCATTCAAAAATATGGTTGAATGAAGAATATAAAGAACAAAATCATGGTTAATATTTTTTTGCTGTTTAGTTGTTTTGTATTTTGTATTCTTCTTTGGGTAATGAAAAAGGATAGGAAATTTTATTTGAAGTAGAGATCTAGGTAATTACATTTTTTTTTAATCACAAAAAGAACAAATGGTATCAACAGGAACAAATTCTGGAGTTGAGAGAATTGAGAAGTTAGAGTAGGGATTTCCTACAGAATAAAAAATTCTGCTTGTAGAACACCTCTAGAAATTGTATTTATAAATGTAAACTTGTGAAAAAGTAATTCATTTTAATTTTGTATTTTCATGAAAAGGGATGATGGTAAGAATTTATTTGAAGAACTACATTTCAAGTACATCCTACCAAGTTTTGGAATTTGTGTTTCTTTTCATTTCCAAAACAAATCTGTATAGGTTTAGTAGATACCAAAGTTTTTCTCATTCTTTGCTCTGAGCACTGGGCTGGATACATTCCCATAACACAGTATTCTGGGTAAATTGTGTTCTTGCTGGTTGCTGTGCCACCATTGTCTTCCAATTCAGAAGTTTGTAATGCCATTTGCACAGTTTTTGAAGAGGCACAATTAGATCTGGTGTTTCCTTATTGAAAAAGCTTATTAAAAGACCTGCTAAGAACACAGTTTTACGTGCTCAGGTTTGTTGGCTTTAGAAAGCGAATCATTTTTGCTTACATGTAGAGAAACTCCTGAGCGATAATTCGGAAATAACCGTGTTTGTGTTATTGTCACCTGCAGGAGACAGCTGCAAATATGCCTTTCATTTAGGTGGTGAATTTAAGACAAAGTACTATGAATCTTGTATTTGATTCCATGAAATGATGGTAAGCCTGTAGTAGGCAGCTATTGACGACACAGTGATTAAACAGAGGAGCTGTACAGCCCTGGTGTCGGAGTTCCATTGCAACAGTGTGTCCAGTGGCCATGGTGTAATTGTCCAGTGGTCTCCACGTTTCGGTTTGTTGATTTTCCCCACATCATAACTTCTTTCTCCTGAAAAAAAAAAAAAAAAAAAAAAGAAATCCCTCCTACCCTGTTATCTATTTGTTCGTCTGATTGACTTTTTTGACCAGGTCAGGTTTCCTCTTCCACTGTGGGCCCTGGAGTTCCCTGCTGCCAAACGTCTCTTCACATGATGCTTTTGTAGTGAAAAACAGATTGTTCTGCGCTGAGTGTCTCAGCCCTGTAAATACAAAGTGCAAATCTATAACTTATGGATATACAGAGTGCCCAGATAAGCCTCTTAACATTTGCAAATAAAAGCAACTTTTATAGGAGGGCTCTAAAGGGTTTTTACTGATGTTGTCAGCTACAAGTATTAAGTAAGTTGTTTGCCTTTCTACAGGTGCTAAACAAGATGCTAACTAAAACTATTTGTGCTGCATTTACACAGGAAGAAGGGTTTGGTTTCTGTTGCTCTTTAAGTTTCCTGAACCTTTCATATTAATTAATAATTAATTAATTAAAATATTAATTTATTAATTAATTAAATAATCATATTAAAATTAAAAACAATTTTTATCCTAACTTCATCAGTTTTGTTATTTGAGATATTTTAACTCATCCTCAGTTTTCACATTCTGGCTAAAGAGGATTAATCTTGCAAATGCTTAGGAACCTAATATTTTAAGGCATAATTGCAGTACTAATTGAACCCTACTTGATCGAACATACTTGATGCTACTTTAGTGGAAGTACCCAGGATTTGAAAAGTTTTCAGGTATTGATTTACAATTTTAAAAGTAATAATAATAATAATAAATGACTAACTCTTTGATCCTGATGATTTCCTGGATCTTCTATTACCAATAATTAATTTTATTTGACATTTACCTATGTTGAAGAGTAGAATGCAACTTCTATGAAGTTATGAAAACTGAAGTTGGTAGATTCCTCTTATCTGTTGATAAATTAAATATATTAAATTACACTTCTAAAAAATATTATACAACTGGTAGGGGTCAGACACCTAATGCTGCTAGGATTTAAGGTTATTCATGTATTTCTTTATGTCTTCATTCTCTTTAAGAAATGCTTAGCTTACTGTTTGCTATAAAATTTTGTAGTTACTCATTCTGAGCACACCCTACCATGCTGCCAGTCTCATGTCTGATCATTTGTCTGTGTTTTTGGAATGTATGTTTTTATTTTTATTGTTATTTTTTCCTGTTATACCTGCTCTGTAAAACTTCCTAATAGAGTTGATCTAGCTTGGTTTAGGGGAGTGAGACTTTCATTATTTATATTTTAATTTTCAATGTCATACTGTGGAAATTGCTAAATTGAGTGCTGATTAGTATCCAGTTACATTATAACGTGATTTACCCGTCTCTGAGGGTAAAATTTTTGTGTGAAATATGTGAATTAACTAATTTACAAACGTTTCTTCTCTCCTTAGAGAATGTCAAAAAGCAAGACTAAAGTCAATGGGAACGCTATCACTTTCCTTATTTGAGAAGTTGTGTTTGAGTATATGTGAGAGTTAAGTAAATGGAAGAAGGAATGCACATGTGAGTCTGAGGGGAAAAAAATCAGTAGAAGTAAATACTCTTTTTCATCATTCAGTATTTTTAAAATAAACATAAGGTGAAAGTATAGGGAAAAAAAAAAAAAAAGCCCTTCTAGCGAAAAGGAGAAGAAATCAGGTGGTGTTGGAAGCATAGAAGACACAGGATTTCATTTGTGAGTATACATTAATCTTGAGATTGATAGTGGGATAGTTAGGATAGTTGTGTAATCCCTTCTCTAGAAGGAGTTTACCTTCTGTTAAAGGACTAAAAGTACACGTGTGCTTTGAATTCCACTGGTAAAGCTGGTTTATATTGGCCTCACAGTAAACTTAGATTCATCCAGTTGGAAATGTCCTACAAAGATCGTCTGGTCCAACTGCCTGATCTGTTCAGAGCTAACCAAAAGTTAAAGCGTATTACTAAGCAAATTGTCTCAAAGCCACTTGAGCACTGACAGGCTGGGACATCAACCACCTCACTACTGTTTTCCACTGTTTGACTGCCTTTGCAGTTAAGAATTTGTTCCTAATGTGCAATCCGAACCTTCCTTGGTGAAGTGAGAAATAAATGGTGAGAAATATTGGAAGTTATCTGAACCATGACAAGGTCTACATTTTCATAAATAGGAAAGTTTGGTCAGAAGTGCAACAATAGTAGAGCTAATAATAATTTATTGTACTTTCAACAAAAATTACTGTATCTTTACCTCCTGAAATGTAAGACTTCTTCTTTTGCTATAGCTTTTAGCCTTAAATACCATAATATAAAATTATTATTTCTCTGCAGCATTTAGCATAACATGGTGAAGAAAACAAGAACATAACAGATAAATAACCACGCAGAATTTTACTGTATTTACAGACAGTGTTAACTAATTGCATCTAGTTTTCTCATTTTGAAATGCTACCAACTTTGCCAGCAAAACAATGCATATAAATAAAGAGTGATCAGTTGTGATAGAAAAAATAACTAGTTATGTATAGTTAACAAGAATATGGACTTGTGTTTAGTACTTTGAAATGAAGATTTCTTCGCTAGAAGAATATGTATATAGTGGTTAACATCTTTTTGGCTTTTTAGGATAGACTTTAATGTTCTGAAGGCCTAGTATCCCTCCTGCTCCCTGTACTCCTACTTTTGTAATAACTGAATAATTCCTTTGCTTTCTCTGTGGATGTGAAGGCATTTTTTTTTGGCAAACAAAGACAAGCTTGGTAAATAGTTCCGCTAATAGTGCAGAAAACTGAACAAAGCCCAGTTCTCTTATTTTCTGGGCTATCGTGTAAAGAGTTAAAAAGCAATACAACTTGGATATAGAGGCTGAAGCAACATCACTGAACAAAGGCCGTGGCTCAGTATGTTACCTGACCCAGCTCCTTTGCCAGAAGCTGCTGCTTTGGTGTCAGAGTCAGCGTGGGAAACATGCGTCTGGCTTTGTTGCCTGAGTTCAGTCTGGAAAAATATTGTGACAATCTGTAATTGTCACAATAAAATTAGCCAGAGTTCATCTCTTAAGAGCCTTTGGTCAGAATAGTGAGGAAAAAATGTCTCTGGGTCAGAAAGCAACTACAAATTGACATG